CTCGAATAGATTCCAGGGAAGGTAACGGGCCGGCTGATCCAGGAGCCGGATAATGAAGGACGTGCAGAGGGTGCCGCAAACCAGAGCTCTCCCATGACCCTGCGGGCCTCTTTCGCTGTGCTCATCTGTTTTGCCAAGGACGGTCCCATGGCTTTGCCTCCGCAGAGGCAAGTTCGGCGCCGGGCCCCATGACCACTAGGAAATGAGCGTGACCCACATCACGGGGGTCACCGCCAGCCCGCTGACCGGTCTCCAAACGTACCGGTTGGTGGAGACCCGCAGCGGAGTGGGAAGGGCCCTGAGCTCGTTAAAGCCTATGACAGGGGCCACGTTTGCAGAGGCCAGCAAACCTGCGGTGGGACCCCCCCCAGCCGGGATGTCCCGCTTATCTAGTGGTTAGAGCCAGGACGAACCCCAGCCCTGGGAAGGGAGTGGGGTCTAGTGGTTAGAGCAGGGAGCTGCAGCTGTCTCTGCACTGTGTTGCAGGGAGCCCGGTGTTGCCAGCAGGGCTCAGCAGGAGGCGCTCTCCCCTTGCAGGTGCAAGGGTCTGACGCAGAAGGCCCCCACTGGGGACTTGGGTGGGTATTAATTAGCCGCTGCAAAAATGAGACAACTTAAAATCAGCAGGCTTCAGCAATATGCACTGAAGAGTTGTAAAGAGCTGGCCAAGGCGTTCACTGCTCTGTTTCTGTTGATTTTCCATCTGTTTGGGGGCCTGGGACCCATCCAGAAGAAAGCTAAGAGTGTCTGGCCAAGTGCCATAGAGCGGGAGAGGGGGGCGGCGTTTGCGTGGGGAGGTTCCACGGCCGGGGTGTCAGAGCTCGGCCGTGAGTTTGCTAATGTCACTGACGCGGAAGAAACAATCAAACCTCACCAATCAAGTTTGCAGAGGCCACACAGCCGGGGGAGGAGGCCTCAGCTGGGGGCAATTGGTCATCGCTCAGCAGTGGGGTCAAGTGGTTAGAGCCGATTTCCTTTCCTCTGGTCCCCAGCATGGGGCCTGTACCTGGAGCCAGACATTTTCGACAGGGGGGGGGCTCTCACGTTCCAGCCCAGCTGCCTACACCACCCACTTAGTGTGTGATAAACAGAGGGATCCCCTCCCGCTCTACCTCCCCCCAGTTCAGCCACCCACAAGCCCTCGGGCCAGGGTGGAGCCCAGATATGCCCCCCTTCACAGAGCCATGTAAACCCATCTCAATCCTGTTCCAAAAGCCTTAAAGAGTTCCAGGAGTCCTGGCTCGCAGCCCCGCCTCCTGCTGTTTCAAAGGCTCAGTTTCACCCAGTTGGAACCAAAGCAGCTGGGAGGAAGGATGTAACCAGACCCTCCTGGGTGTTAAATTGAGGCACATTTCCCAAACAAACACCAGGTTATGAGCACTCCCACAACTGACGTTCCACGTTCGGGGAAGACGCCCATGCCGATTGCAGACTCTGCTCTGGGAAGTCGTGGTTGACAAACCAGCGAAGGGGTTCACACAGTGCAACTTTCATTGGGGGATGGAAACTCCTAGTGTTGGCGACAAAAAACGTCCAGCCCTAAGAGAGACTATTGTCTTTTTCCCTCCCTTGGTTGTCAACAAAGAGCCGTTGTGGAACTAGCTTCCACCAGTATCCCTCAATGCCTGCCCTGGTGGCTGTGCCCAGTGTTCTGTGATCTCTGCTGCCCTGCAGGCCTGCACCCCTCCCCCTTCAAAGCTCCAGGAAGTATAAGGCAGGTGAGTGAGCTGCTCCATTTGGGGAACAAAGAGCAATTCATTGGAGCGCACCTGTTCTGCCCTGCCCTGCTAGGAGCTCAGTGGCTGCCAGGCTTCACTGCCCCTTTGACATTCCTCACCACGAGAGCTCCCAGACCTACACAGAAATCCAGAGAAGCAGGGATCAGCTCTGCCTCTTGATACCTACTAGACCTGTGCTCTTGGGGAGCCAGGGAGTGATGCTCATGGACAGGGCTTGACGAACGGCGGCGAAAGCCGCTCGTCGGCCCCACACTGCGCAGGCACAAGACCCATATTGCGCATGCACGCGCCGGAAACAAACAGGGCGCAAGGCTGAAATCTACTCACCACGGGCGAGTAGGCGCAAGGCTTTGTCGAGCCCTGCATATGGAAAAACCATCCCCCTCCCCCAGGCCTCTGCTATGGAATGGAAAGGCCGGGGAAGACCCCTCCAGACAAGGGGGATAGAATTAAGGAAACAGCCCGGCCTCTTCTGCATGGAAGATAGAACCTAGAGACATCTCCATTAGCATCCAGCATGGAGACCAGCTCTTCCAAAGCAGGAACCGCACTGAGCTATGGGATACCGCAAGCAGAGAAGCATGGCCTGATGGAAAATCTCTGCTCCAGAGGCTAATGAACCCAGGCCTGCTCACCCCCAAATTAGTCATGATCAGCCCCATTCTAGTCATGGATCCTATTGACAGCCAAAAACTGAAACTGCCTAGTTGCATTGTGAGCTCCTTCAAGGAGCATCACCCACAGCCAGGGGTGCTCGCCTTCAAGGAGCATCACCCACAGCCAGGGGGCTCATTCTATTGTCTCGCCTCTGTTTACCCAGAAACAAATCCAGTGTCCTCCTCCAACTATTGTCCTGAACCTACCAAAACTCCTACCCTTGCCCAAGAAAAACTGCTCTGATACCTGGATTTAAACTGTGTCCGTTCCATTGAGACGTCTTCATCTCCTGCCTGATCGTGCTGGGGGCTCTGGTCTGCTCGTCTCCTGCCCTCAGGACCTCCGGGTCCCATCGCTATCTGGGAACCCCGATCAGTGCAAGCTCCATGGAGTGGTGAGGTCTCTCTGGGTATGTCTACACTGCCACCCTAGTTCGAACTAGGGTGGCTAATGTAGGCAATCGAAGTTGCAAATGAAGCCCGGGATTTAAATATCCCGGGCTTCATTTGCATCTTGCCGGGCGCCGCCATTTTTAAATCCCCGTTAGTGCGGACTCCGTGCCCGCGGCTACACGCAGC